ACGTCACATACATGCCAATCGATAATCATACCGCCCACTTCTAGCTGAGGTTCGATTTCGTCGACTAGTTTTTCATCATCGACAATAATAGCTTTACGCTCGTCATCGAAACCATGCGAATCCTTGTTTTTCTTTGCGTAGTCACTGACACTGAATAAATTCATATCAGATAACCTTTCAGCAACTTGCTCGGAAAGGGTTGATTTACCGGTACCCTATATCAATAAGCATAAACATAACCAAGAGCTATCAAAACACAATCCAGATTGAATCATATTTTGGTTCGCTTGGTTGATGTATTGTTAGTAAACCATCATTCAAACCTAGCCCCACCCAGCAAAACGTGAGCCATAGCTCAACTACAACAGCACTTACCGGAGTACCAGTAATAATAATATTGGGTAAATTTCTCGACATTGTATAAAAATATATAGCTCTGATGAACCCAAGGCGTTAATGAGAAACGCCAATTGCCGATAATCTTTTTCAAATCAGTCCTTTTGGGTTAGGGTTAAGTCAAGTCGCGGTTTTCGCAAATTTCCCGGTTTAGGTTCTCAAATGACGCAGTCATCAAGAAATTTCGAAACAATTTTAAGCTGCCAGTGATTCCTAAATCAACTGACAATATAACCTGAGAATATTACTTTATACGCCCATTATTGTAAAGGACGATGAATAGACAAGGTACGTTGGTTTGCTATTACTTGCCTAGTAATGTTGGTTGAGGAGAGAGGGGAAGCTTTGCAACGTGATGATTATGGGTGGCCAGAAGACATAGATTTTCGCAATTAGATCGGGTAATTCTGTATGGTTTCAAAGAAAAAGAACTCTGAAGAAAAATAGCTATGGTATGGAATAACGCTATTAGGCGTTTACTACTCGCGAAAACACTGATAAAAATAGAATTTGCATAAAAGCTTTTTGGATTAGGTTTCGTTTGGCTGGAATATCACTCTCTTAGAATTCTTGATTTTGTTTTGAAAAAGCAGTTTTTAATTGATATTTGGTTGAATTATATCTATTTCCCAGGTTTTGCTGTTCATGTTTAATACATCTGGTCTCCTAATCCTTGCTTAGATTTCCGCTTTAGCTTCAGCCGCGTGTTGGAGACTAGGCGTGTGATACTTTTTTATATTTGTATGTTTACCCAATTTTTGGTACTAATATCTTTGTTACAGGTAACACGCAATTATGGGGTACCGGCGGGTTTACTCAACAATCTGGTTTACGATCGGCAAGTTCTTCCAGCCATAGTACAACTAACATCAATGAATTCCCTGCTCTCGGCGCCGCCATACCATTATCTTCATCCAATCACTCACAATCGCATGTCCCATCTGGATTTGCAGCTATTGCAGCCAGTGGAAATTTTGGTTCACCCCGATTGTCTGCATCTTCACCTGGCCCCGGTAAACCTCCTGGTCTCGCTGGAAACAATGGTAACCGAACGGTAGCTCAAATTGTAGGAAGTAGTGGGGTCAATATGGCCAATTCTATTAACCCGGTTGGCTCTATTGCTTCATCCTCTGAGGATTTTCCAGCTTTACCTGGCGCCGCATCCAAAAATGTGTCGGATAGCATAAAAGCCAATAATAGCGCCAGTCCAGTTTCTAAAAGTACTATCGTTAATAGTGCTGCTTTGCCTAACTCTTCTTCAATCAACTCATCAAGTTCGGCGCTAGCTAATGGGTTTTCAAATGCTAATACTGTCAATAGTGCTGTTTCAGTAAGTGAGAAGAGCACGCAATTAAAAGCTGAAAAACCTATTAGCAAGTCTAAACGGGAGCCTACGAAACTAAGCGATAACTATGGATTAACCGGCTTGTTAAGTGTTATTAGACAAGAGAACAGTTCACAAATGGCCACTGCTATTGGTAATGATTTAACAAATATGGGTTTAGATATGAACCCTTCCGAAGAGCCCCTGTCCAAAGCATTTGCCTCTCCATGGAGTGAAACTGAGTTAACACCTCCACCAGTACCTGATTTTAAACTGCCGTCGTGTTATCTAGTAAACTCTTTACCATTACAGGAACAGCGTCTTGTTGCCTTCGATGATGAAACTCTGTTTTACCTGTTCTATACGCTATCTCGCGACCAAATGCAGGAGTTGGCAGCTGTAGAACTGACAAATAGAAACTGGCGTTACCACAAAGAGCTACAACTTTGGTTGACTAAAGATCCTATGAGTGAACCCATTCAACAAAATCCTCAAGCCGAAGTCGGCGTGTATATTTTCTTTGACCCCAAGTCATGGTCTAAGGTGAAGAAGGAATATGTGTTAAACTATCATGCTATTGCTTGATTAATTAAAAGTTTTGACATTACTTTTGTCTTCAAAAATTAGTCTTTACTGATATTTATATTCTATCTATATTTAATATTAAAAATTTCCCCCGGTGGACTTGTCTTTATTTTTTCTTTATCACTGTACTGTATATTCGTTAGATTTTACAGTGTAAAAATAGCCATTAACTATGCCATTAACCTGTTGTATTAACTATCTCTTGGAAAAGAAAGAAAACTTTTTTAAAAATTCAAAGAAGGCTTTTGAGGTTTTAAAAAATATTTGAAGGCCGAAATAAGTTACCAAAAATTTCGCGAAAAGCGATTTCAGAATTATCTGTCTAAAAAAATCGATAGGGCTCATCTAAGTCTTTTTTTTTCATATGGATTCATTATTTTTTGCCACAAATAAGAAACAGGTTTTATAGTGTAGTTGGTTATCACCACGGATTTTGATTCCGTTAACCCCGGTTCGAATCCGGGTAAGACCTANAGACTTCGTGGCCAAGTTGGTTAAGGCGTGCGACTGTTAATCGCAAGATCGAGAGTTCAACCCTCTCCGAGGTCGTATTTTTTTATCTATGGCTCCTGAGATTTACGAAATAGCTATACTGATAGGAAGAACAAACCATGGCGGGTTAATTTCTTTTGTTCTTTCTATGGGTTTGCTATAATATTTATTTTTTGGTACAAATCTACTACTTGTTTTTTTTCCTTTAAACTAACAAATTATTATGAACTAACCTTCTAAATCTTTTTCATTCTTTCCGCACAGATGCTTGTAGGTCGTTTGATTTTTATAATGAATACTCCTTAATAATAATAAAAAATTATTTCAGTTGCTCAAAAGTGCTGAAACAATAAAACATATAATCAATATTAATTTTTTCCCGGCCAGAAGAAAGCTTTTGTATTAGTATTGACCCTCACAACCAAAAGCTCAAATTAAAAATTATAAAATTATTAGATCAAACAGAGACTTAAGCACACAAGTTTCTCCCTAATAATATTTCCTGGAGTGATAATTTTAAATATAGTTTTACACATTTTAAGAACCTTTCTCATATTTACACAAAATATTTTTGGAAGAAAAAACCCCAAGATACCACCCCTGAGTTTGATTGATCCTCGTTTATTCGTCGAAGCAACACTTTAAGGGGCCCAGTCTAGAAAAACTAAAGATCAAATATAAAACTGATGATTCACTAAATTATTTAATCGTATTACCTTTACGGGCAAGAAAGTAAAGTACCTACAATAGAAGGTTTATACTTGTAGACTTTTGATTTTATCGTGAAGCTTATAGAACAGAATCGCTTTCTATATTGACGAGGTTATTTGACTATTCTTTTCTTTTACTTTTTCACATAATATCTTTTTATTAGTACAGTTTTTCTAAAAACTGCATCATTACACATTCTGCTTGTTTAACACCACTGTCATAGTTTGTTTACTTATGACAACTTTTTTACTCTATATCTCCATGAAAGATTTATTTTCATATATAGTACCACTAAAAATATGATGAAGATTTTTTTCAGGTTAAAGGTTTTGAATACTGAATATTTTTCTTTTGTGCGCATGCCTTACTATCTCACCTCAGCATCCCCTATTTTAATAAATAGTCACAGAACTTCCCCACCGACAGCTTTAATGTTCATTCTTTATCTCTCATTCAATTTTTTTAGCTATCCCTTATGCCTAAAAATTATTTTACTTATAAAGATAAGCAAAGCATAAATAAAACATTTTTTGAATGGTTTTGTATGGCTCCAAAAATAAATTTATTTTTCAATAAAGACTTAATTTCATTAGTTTCCTTTTTTCGCGCAGCCCATTTTTGGAAAACCCGCTGGATAAATACATTTTAACTTTCTGACATGAAATACCAAAGATTTCTCTAAAAAGTAGTCTAATATGTAGTATGAAAGATCTGCAATAATTTTTCCCAGTTATTCCTACGGTTGATTTCTGCAGACTTTTAAAGCCAATATCTTTAAATAATACAGTGGTTTTCGGAGAAACTAACGAATCAACATGCAATGCTTATGTTAGTTATGTGAATAAGTCAAACATTAAATACATGACTCGAAAATCATAACCAATAGCTACTTAAAACTTAAAATACACCACTAAAGACACCAAGATAGAGTGACCTTTTTAAGATTTCTTTATATTTGATAAGATGTTTATAATACTACTGAAAAAACAAATAATAAACTATATATAATAGTCATTGAAAAAAATAGTTAGAATGCCGTGATTATGTGCAAAATCCTTTTTAAAGTTCATGAGCATGTAAAAACCCAGGCATACAATCGGTGAATTGTAACTATTGCAAAAACGGTATGCCATATTCTAGTTGGTGTTAAAAAGAACGATAGAGAAGATACCTTATCCAAGATAAAAAATAGAAAAGTTCAATAAAAGTCTGTTGGGATATGCTTCTGCGTAGTATATAAGTAGAAATTGCAAAACCAACTTAAAATATTATTAGCAGCGTAATGCTGCGAAACAAGCGGCCAATATCTGACCAAAGCTTCAAAAAATTAAGTAATAAAAGGGTAGTAGTAAATACACCGGAAATCAGATTGTTATTACAGGTTTATTTGAATTTAATATTTTTGCGAAGATATCACAATGGCGTTTCTAATTTTTATTCGTAAATATCAAAAAGAATAAAGAGCTATAAACTGCAAGAAGTAAAAAAATATTGGACAAGCCCGGAATCGAACCGGAGACCTTCCCCTTGCGAAGGAGACGCGATAGCCAACTACACTACATGCCCGCAGTCTTGAAATTGTCGGCAGTTTGAAGTTTATAAAGTTAAAAACACATCACCAAAACAATTGCCCTTCTTTTTCTCTCTATTTTTTTCTTCTGTCAAGAACTTTCTTACTAAAAGTTAAAGCAGTCTAAGAAAAAAGCGATTTTAGGATATATAGAGCTAGGTAGATCCCCTAATCATAGAGAAATGAGTTCAATCCAACCATACCTACAAAAATCAAAAATCATTTATCAAGGTAGAATTTCTAGCAAAGCTTCAATACTTCATTAGAGATTTTGATATATATATTGCGGTGTATATTAAGGCATCCTATACTCAATTCTGACTATCTATTTTCACCTAGCAAAAAGAATACGGCAAAAAGAGTTGAAGGAAAAAGTAGTAAAAATGTTGGAAGAAAAGGTTTTGATTTTTCAAAATAAAACCTTTCCCTTTTGTCAACTATTTGATAAAAAAATTATAAAATAAATGCTAGCAAATCCCTCAGATGCCTCAAAAATCTTCTATATTATTTTTCAGTTCTAGATTAAGGCACTAGTATATTTTTTTTATGGATCAAATGATAATTCTGCATCTTATTTGAGCTTAAAGTTTCATATTACATACTATATTTGGCGTAAAAAATCTGATTGACTGAACATGACTGCCTCTGAAGCTTTTAAATTATTACTGTGTATGCTATATAGTCCAAAAGATTCATTTGGAGATCCCTATTAGTGATTAAGCATCATCACGCGTTTGTATCAAATATATCTCTTTAGCTGTTTAAAAAGATTGTTGGTATGCCGTAGTTGCGGCAATACCACCCATAAACTGCATTCTGAACATTTGCGAAGATGACTCCCTTTGTATCAAAACTAAATTTATATTTTTTAGGCCATCCAAATTACTTCTAAACATATATTATGATTTTTAAATTAGATATATAATCAAATAGAAGCTTCAGTGAGCTTCAAATTCGACTATAATTATTGTTTTTTCATCTCCGAGCACAAAAGAAGACATTTCATCAAAAACCAACACCCCCTCCCCCCAGTAAGTTTTATATGCAAATTTTAAGCAGTATTGGTAAGGAAAATATTCAGGATCATTAAGTTCAAATCAATTTATACATTGTCATTATAGAAGAAAAGAAAAATTTAGTTAGAGTAATTTCGGAAATGATTAGCCCCTTGACCGATGATCATTGTCCGTATGCGTTTTGTGAAGATTTATTTGAGTTCTAAACAAAACTAATCAGTCAGCTGAGGTATCTCATCAAAGAAATCAACAAAATATAGATATTTTCAGCTTATCTTAGATGAAAATTTCAACGCTAAAAAACCCGGCAAACTTCGGAGAGCACTATTATTAGCTAATAATGCCTACTTAAAACAACCCTAGCTAAGAATGCACCGTACATATGTAGTTGGTCAAATAAATATAACAGACAGTAAGAAAGTTTTTAAGCGTTTGTAAAAAAATTAATAGTCAGAGTTAAGAATACTATTGCAACTTATTGCTTCAAAATATAGTGGGAATTCCCTTTCAAAAAAATTAATCACTAATATAGTGTTAAATACCTATATTCGAGTTTAATCCCTTTAGGTTTGCAAGAAAAAAAAGAAATTTGAATTGACTCACAAAACCTAGATTCCGATTGCAAGCTTTCGAAACCTCAGAAGATCAAGTTAGCCATCTGGCCAAACAAATTTGAAAAATACTGTAAAAATCCTCAAATATCGTTTTTCAAATATCATCATTTATTAGCAAAAAGATAACTGAAAAGTATGTATATATAAATATGTATATACACCAGAGCCTAAAAGGGACCCAAACTAAAACAATCCCTTATAAAATTCTCATAGCCCCTCTTGATCACAAGTGGAATTCGTGAGCTTACTGTATATAATATATATTGTAGAGCACGCACAGATCACGTAACATAAGCTAAGAAAAGAGTCATATCCCCCAATAATATGCTGCTGCTATTCACCAATCTATTAAACCCAAAGTTAGCATTTAGATTTTTCAGAAAGATCACAGAACAGACATTAACGGGTCATTGGGTATATCTTGAAGAAAATAGGATTAATAAATAGGTTGTAGAGACAAACCTTTAATTAATTCTTTGAGTAAGCCCAGTATGTACCTCAATAAAATTCAGATACTCATAGCAAGCTACATGGTTTATGGAAAATATAATTCTTTAACACCCTAAGCCAATTATAATTCTCTACAAAAACTCCTGCCAGATACCTATGCTACAACTTGATATCAAACTAAAATGATCGACAAACCCCACCCCAATATGAGAGGAAAAAAAGTTGACGCATGTGGAATGCGACACATATAAGCTGTTTTATTATTTCAAGATAATGGATAATAGATTGATTAATAAGCCTAACAGCTCTCCCATGTTCGAAATTGGGAAACAATAACACACTAATGATAAGCATCTACAAATTTACAATACATGAAGCGTTTTTGGAGGAAAATTAACTCAGGGATCTAATTAGACATGAGTAAGAAATGTCGACCAGAAAAAGCCTTACCCAATAGAAGCGGCTCGTGCGAGATATTGCCGATATATGTTTTCTAACTACCTACAAAAATGAAAGATTCTAACCCAAAATTTCCGGTTCTTAAAAAGCTGGAATGCAAGATCAGGAAACCGAATTAAGAGAAAATCAGAAAAAGTTTAACTAACTACAACAAAAGAGACAAATGGCAACATAAAGAGATTTTGGACAGAAATATTTGGAAATAATCCTAGAAAATAAAACGTGAAACATTGGGTAGTAAGTAAGTAAAGTAAGGTAAGCTCTATTAGAAATCATGAAGAAAAAAAACTCTTTTAACATACCTCAATTCTGAGAGAGTGATAATAAATTTGAAAGAACCGACACCAAAAATGTCTGATGAGCAAAGTAACCCCCCTCCCCCCCATTAACACAAATAGAATCTTCAGCTTATAAATTCTCGAATTCTGAGATACATATATCAAAAACATATCAAATAGTTATAACACCAGCTTGTGACCATTAATATAAGTATTCTTTTACTCTACTTAACACACTCAACAGCTAAGCTAAAAGTAAAGGGCATCCGAGAGAAAATTATGACAACTAATTCCTAAACCCTAATAAAAGTTCGACTTACCAGTAGTTTACATGAGAAAACCCATTAAATCTCCTTTAATACCTAGAAAGGTGTATAAAGGCACCGGGTTAAATTGATCGCAAATGTTTATCCTATGCCCCTCAATTATAATCCCGACAGGTCTGAATATTGGAGCGGCGAAGTTATAAAATTATATGCTGCCAAGCGATATATGAAATAAACCTTATTGATAGCTCTATCCCCCCTGCCGGAACAAAGTGGAAATTTATCCATTTTCAGTCTATGTAGCGAACTCAAAAGTCACTTTTTTTGTAAGCTTACTATATTGTTGCAATTTTTGTCCTTAAATTTGATAAAGATCTGAGCAGAATTTCTTAGAGGTGGGACAACCCTTATCTTACGGATGATATAATTGATATGATATATATATTGTACAGTAACAGCTTTTTTAATTAGCGCTTTTGAAACTCAACAACCAACCTATATGATTTCGATTGCCGTGATTCAAGTTATTCACTAATTAAAAGTGTATCCATCCTTGAAAAACTGATAAAATTGGAAAAAACTAAACATTAAAGAATAATTGAAAAATTTTGCTCACAAAAAAAACGGATGATATAACCAAACATTAGAAATGTTAAGATGATGAACAAATCCAATAAGTGTTTGTCATTGACTAAAAAAAAAAATCTAAAGTGGAAAAAGCATATTTAATATACCTATAGCAGGCATATTAAGCAAAATCAACAAATACTACCCAATCAGAAAATAAACAAAATAGAGCCTATAAAGTAAGTTCTATAAACGCTTTCCCGCAACGCCATTCAATCATACAGGAAAAATTGTTAATTGGGAAGCTGCAAAACGAGTTCAGGCCTAGTTTAATAGCTTCATAAAAATGACAAAGTTATTGTGTATGTTGTACATTGACATAATAAGGAGTTAACTCCCCCCGCTCTTGAAAAGACTGTGATGGTCTGTTCCCAAGACAATCATGGATAACAAAAGTTGACAAAAAGGTTAAAGGCTTGGGAGTAAGAAACATACTGATACCGCTATAATAATGGATAACGGTAATTTAGTAAAAAAAGGCACCAAAGAGATTCTCAAAAGCTAAACATAATTATAAATATTAGATAAGTAGCAAATCTCCGCCTATTATTAGAAATTCAATTCACGCATCATACACTTACACTGGAAAAATGATAAGGAATTAAAAACCTCAACAACTCTTCCGGTGAGCAAGCAGGGTTATGTGAGATGTATTTATTCACGTGGCACTCATGAAAATTTGTTTTCATATATTTGATTATAGAGGGTTTACGTTTCAATTTCATTTGTAATATAAGGAATGGAAATGTTTTTTCGTGATAACTTTTGCATTCAGAAGACATGTATGTATTCTTTATATGCCAAGTTCCGAAAAAGGTTTATATTCGAAGGTTAAAAACTAAAAATATGGGAATAAGAAAAATCTATAATATAGATTAATTATATAACTCAATGGTGAAAATTAGACATGTATATTATACTCGGGCATTGTATGTTTACTTCAGACAAGCTAAGAAAGCGAAAATATACCTTTAATCCTTATCCATAGGCGACAGAGACAGCAAAAAAGAGGCAGGGATCGCATGTTAGAAATGAAAACGATATGCACTATATCAGCTCCGGAGTAAATTATATGTTTTCTATATTTTTCCCTTTCCTACACTGAACTATCTGACAACTTTATTTTTGTTCCTAAATGGGTAGTGGGTTATTGCTATTCTTGTTAGCAACTGAGAGGAAACACTGTAATACTAAATGATTACTGTTAAGATATATGTGTATTTAATTAAAAAAATGCCCTTATGTTAATCAATCTGTCACGAGAATGTGAGCTTCATGAAACTCGA